ACAAATAAAATAAATTGGCAAATAAAAACTATATCTATTTAAGGTACACAACTTGATGATTTGATATAGGCGGACATTGTGAAATATTCACCCCAATCAAGCTAATTAACCTATCCACCTCCTCACACAGTTACCATGTTTCCTTCTTTCTTTCTTTGTGAGAACACTTACCCCTTGGTGGGCACTAACATTTTTTCCAGTGGTTTGCTCTTCTGAGTGCCACCACTCTAAATACCACAGGCATTCCCTTGCCTGGAAAAGAGGCACAATGTCTGCTGGGTGTGTGCCTCCGGGGAGGATAGCTCAGTACTGACTCTGTGTAATGTTCAGGTTTCCTGGGTACTACAGATTTTTCCAAAGGGGTTCTACCAATTTATATTTTTCACCAGACATCATGCGAGAGTTCTATTTGCTCTATAGCTTCAGAAGTTTCCTTTATACAGAAGGTTTGCACTGTTTTCAAGTCTATTCTTAGGCATTTTACTTTTTGTTATTTTTTAAATCAAACGTTATATCTAATTGGCTACTGTTTGTTAGTCAATTCTTATGGTTTGTATTTGATTTTGCATTCATCAATTTATTAGGTTCTCTTATTGTATAAGACATTATTGGTTTATTATTTTTTAAAGATTTATTTAGTTATTTGAGAGAGAGAGAGTGCGTGTGTGTGTGTGTGTGAGAGAGAGAGAGAGCAGGGGGAGTGGCAGAGGGAGAGGGAGAGAGAAAATCTCAAGCCGACTCCAGCATGTGCAGGGATCCCGATGTGAGCCTCGATCCCAGGACCCTGAGATCATGACTTGGCTCGAAATCAAGAGCTGGATGCTCAACTGACTGAGCCACCCAAATGCCCCTTGGTTTATTCTCTTGATTTTTCCAGATATGAAATCATAACACTTACAAATAATGATAATTTTATATCCACCTTATGTTTTTTATACATGCAATTTATTTGTCTTTTATGGTCTTCGTGTATATTTCCTCTACACATTGAAAATAGTGTTAATAGTGAACATTAAACCTCCAAATCTCCATTAAACCTCCAAAATGCTTATCAAAATCTTTTTATTAATAGAACACCTTCCCAGAGAAACATTTTGGTTCCAGTTCTTCACAGCAGCTCCAGAGAAAAAAGGTGGGATGAAGCATCAAGTAAGTAAGGGAAGTCCATCAAGGCCAGAGAAGAGGGAAGAAGAGAGAGGCTGGAATCAAATGGGGAGAAAAAGGTGGAAAGTGATCAGATCACCTGATTCACTCAAAGCAGGCACAGTGGAGGAAAAGGTAAATAAATTGTGATGATCACAGCCCATCACGGACCCACTAAGAGAGGGCGATTTAATTTCAAGATCATGCTCCCCCCACCCATTCCTGCCACCACATCGACAGGGCTTTGGTGTAAAAACAGTGAATTAAAGCCAAAAGAACGGCACAGCACAAACTCTATTTAAGAAGGGCTTCTTAGGGAAACCCACAGACAACAGTGAAATGAGACTAGAGTGCCGGAGGAAACCGAAAACTCTGCACCTACAGCTACAGCAAACATAAACGCAGCCCGACTCCTAGACAGATGAACACACAACCTCGTGCTAGGGCCCTAGTGACCTCACTTCCTAATATCCCGTAGATCGCATCCAGCCTGGCACGTCAGCACACGGCGTGCTAAGAAGCAAGAAGTACAGTCTGGACACAGAGCAAACCAGACTCAGATATGACTCAGATTTTGGAATTGTCAGACGTGTGTGTGTGTGTGTGTGTGTGTGTGTGTGTGTGTACACGTACATAAAGAGATTTATTATAAAGAATTGGCTACATGATTTATTCTAAGGGATTGGCTCAACTGCTGTGCTGCTGACAAGTCCCAAGGCCCCCAGTGCCAGGGGCGGGAGGCCCAGGGGAGCTGGTGGGGCAGCCCCCATCTGAGGACGGGCGACTCAGGCCCCAGGAAGGGCTGGTGCTTCCGTTCCAGCCCTTGTCCTGAGAGAAAATACTTAAAGGAAGTTGGAATTAAGGAGGGAGGAAGAGACGACAGGCATCTGCCACGATGGTGAAGCCATGGGTTATCTGTAGGAAGCGGGAACTCACACAAAAGGGAGATCCGTGAAAAATCATTCCCCTGGCACAAATTTCCTGGAGCATCTGTTGCTTCTCCCTAAGCCTCTGAGATCTAGTTGTCCTCGTACAGGATCAAAATAATAACAACACCGGTGTTCTTGTTTTTCCCGTTCACACTACCAAAACCGCAGACAAAATGCAAACGGCACGTCTTCTGACTGAGGAGGGCCTGGCCTGTGTGTTCCCATTCACTTCCTGTTCCCCCCACAGCCCACAGCTGCTCTTTCAGGGCAGTTCTGGAGCTGAGCTTTCTCATCCCAGTTTGCTGAAAAATATAAGCCATGTCCTTTCTCTGTTCCTACGCGGTGGACACTTTCCTCTACCTCCTCCACTCAGGGTCCGCAGAAGCCTACGATGTGTCGGCCGCAAAAGGAAAAACAAAGAATTCACAAGAGCACACGGCCCCAGGAGACAGAAAACATCGCCATTCCTCTTGCCCAACAGCTGACAGAGTGGTAAGTCCGAGTGTGAGGGGAGCGTGTCTGTGTGCCTGGGGCCTGCGTGTGTGTTTGTGTGTGTATATATATTTGTGAGTACATGTGTGGTAATGCTTTGAGTGTATGTTTGTGAGTCTGTTTGTATGTTTGTGACTGTGTGGATGTGTGTTGTGTTTGTGACTGTGTATGTTAGTGGGTGTGGGATTGTGTTGTGTTTGTGAGTGTGTAGGCGTGCGTTGTGTTTGTAAGTGTGTGGGTGTGTGTTGTGGTTGTGTGTATATGTTTGTGAGTGTGTGTTTGTTTGTGAGTGTGTGGGTGTGTGTTGTGTTTGGGAGTGTGTGGGTGTGTGCTGTATTTGGGAAAGTGTGGATGTGTGTTGTGTTTGTGAGTGTGTGGGTGTGTGTTGTGTTTGTGAGTGTGTGGGTGTGTGTTGTGTTTGTGAGTGTGTGGGTGTGTGTTGTGTTTGTGAGTGTGTGGGTGTACGTGTTGGGTTTGTGTGTGTATGCTTATGCATGTGTGTTGTGTTTGTGAGTGTGGGTGTGTGTTATGTTTGTTAGTGTGTGGGTGCGTATTGTGTTTGTGTGTATATGTTTGTGAGTGTGGGTGTGTGTTGTGTTTTAGTGGGGTGTGTGTTGGGTTTGTGAGTGTGTGGGTGTGTGTTGTATTTGTGTGTATATGTGAGTGTGGGTTTGTATGTTTGTGAGTGTGGGTGTGTGTTGCGTTCCTGGTTGGAGGGACATGGCCCTACTTTGCAAGGAGGACTAGGAGTTGCTCTAGAAAATGTCATAAAGTGTGTTGGAATCTCACAGGGGAGGAGATCTCAGGGACGTTTAGCTCAGGCCCCGCACTCACACTTACGGGAACACTAGGGCCCCAGGCAGTGTGGCCATCGTAATGATGGCGGTTGGAGAGGAGCACTGAGGTCCCCCGGCTCTCAGGGGGACCCTGTCCCCCACCCCGAAGGCCCCTTCCCTGTCGTCCTCACCGCAGAACCCGGCCACCCACCTCTTGCCCTCCGCAATCCTCACTGCCGAGCCTTCCCCACAGGTCAGGCCTGGACTGCTCTTTTTGGCCCAAGACTCCTGGGACTCCCCCCGCCACGCCAGGCCAGCTCCCCGCCACAACTCCCTGCCCGTGCCCTCCACATCTTTCCACCGCTTTCAGGACCCAGGATCAGACCTGCCTCTGCTCTCTGCTCCTTTCCGTCCTCACAGAACAGCTCCAGGTCCCTGTCTATCCAAATGCCACCCACTCCTGAGCCGGCAGGGCCACTCACCTTTCTCCATGAAGTCTCTTAGAGTGACAGTAGAGACCACAGTGGTGGGAGCGGGGAGAGAGGAGAGCAAAGGAAGTGGGGTCCCCCCAGACCTCCTCCCCCTCTCCTCATTCAGGCTGCTCCCCCTCAAACCAATGCTTCTGGCAAGAGAAAGGCAAAAGTCAGGTGCCTCTTAAAACTCTGTTGAAAGCCTACTAAGACATATTATGATCTTCTCTAGCCAGAGGAAGAGGAACTCGAACGTATTCTCGAGGACAATCCTGCAGGAGCGCTGTGTCAGGATCCTAGACGAGACGTTTTAGGAGGTAAACTACTTTCTAGCAGAAATGAACGTGAGCAGGGTGTGGATGGGGACGTTCGGGGAGCGGGCGGTGCGCTGGGACAGGCAGCGGGGCTCACCCCGGCCAGAGATGTGCCCACCTGGGCCGCCGTCCGAGGGCCTCTGGGTTGGGGCCCTTCTCTACTGCAGCCAAGTAAGAGGGAAAGGTCCCTGAGAGGCGGAGCAGGCGCAAGGAAGGGGAGACACAGTGCTCGTTGCCCCCTTTACTAACTCTCTGTGCCAGGCCCGAGGAAAAGGGTCCGTGCGTTCTGGGCTTTCGTGCCCAGGAGGGATGTGCCGATGCTCAGTGTGACCAAACGGCTCACCCGGGCCTGAGGCTCTGAAGCCAACAGACCCTGTGCCGGTGCTTGGCCGGAGCCCACGTGAGAGCTCTTGGGGTCGTATGGGCTGCAGAGCACCACAGGGACAAGCAGGTGTCCTCGGCCGACTGCTGCCTCAGAACCGGGCTTGGCCTTCTCACGGGGTCCTGTCCCCCCAAAAGCTATTGCATCAGGGTCAGGCGCACAACTTCCGAGGGCTCAACATTGCCATCTAACCTGGGAAGACGGAATCTGGGAATGCTGGAAATCCATCCATTTTCCTGGCCAGCAGAAATTATTTGTGATTCATTGTGTATTGTAACACAAACGGCTTTTTTTTTTTTTTTTT